TGAGGGAAGCATGGCAGTTGATCAGTGTTTGAATGTACAAATGAAAGCAAAAGTATTTTTTAGTTCCTTCATCCGAGCCTCTAAAGAAACAATAGGTTCATTTTATTTTCTCTGGAAATGCGCCGACATAACTTCCAAAACTTTTGTATGGCCCAAACATTTCACCAACAACTGTTTCCTCAACTTGGGCCAATTCAGAGCTGGGCTCGATGAACGTCTGAAAATAAATCGATCGAGCTACCAAGCAACAATTTCTGATGTGTAGCCTAATTGTTCAATTCCAGACAGGTAATCTTTCTCTCAAAATCGTCCAATACTGTTTATGCATCAGTAAGTCAAGCCATGACTAAAATATCAACTTCACATCGTTTCTTTTAGTTGGATGAAAATAATCTTCTTCGAATTGTGAACAAATTATACAGAAAGTGATTTAAGAACAATCTTTCCACACAGCGCGAGTTCATCTGGACAACTCGTTATGAAATCAATGCACAACGAAGCACAGGGCAACCCAGGAAACATTATTAAATAATAAAATAACCCCCATGTCAGGGGACCTTTAACAAACCATTCTGGTTACATTTTCTATTAGGTGTCTAACTACGTACTATGTACATCAAAAAAATAAGTGCAATGTACTTATTGTGTTCATGTTTTATGGCAAAACACTTTTGCTCTTACTGGGGTGGAATATGGGTTAGGTTAGGGACAGGTTTGATTAAAGTGTAAGGGAAGGGTCAACAGTATAATTATAGATGTTATAACAAAGTAATTACAGATGAAATTACATGCAGGTATTTTAAAAAATATAATTACAATGTAAAAACATGTATGTAAACAATAAGTGCATTATTAATTATTTAAATGATATTTTAACTTATAATTTAAATGTTAGTACATAATAGTAAAGGACGTCCAATTTAAAGTGAGACCACTTTCTTTTGGTATCCATATTTTTAAGGCCCTATAAGGTTAAATTCCTTTGTAAATTGTTAAGTTGTACACATTTTCAGTGGTCAAAAAACAGCTGAAGAACAAATAATGTTAAAACTAGAAATGAATCGCATTTAATAAAAGTTTAAAAATATTTGCGAGCTTAGGTTAGCACTGCCATTTTATTTTTTTTCAGGCAAACTGTTGTCGAATCTGGTGTAACGGCAACCCACTTCAGTATTTATTTATTTTTTATACTCCTTCAGAGCTGGAAGGCCAGCATTAGATTGCACAAGGCATGCAAGGAGCAACTTTTTATCATCTTCCCGGAAAAACTACTTCTGAAGCGACACAATCATTTTGCCTCAGTCACAGGCAAATTAAAACTCTGAGATCAAACCATAGCTTGCCTCACCCCCTCCTTCCCACCTGCAGCAGCATCTGAATCTGTTGCACGCTAGACTCCCTTAATCTTGGGCTCTGGGGATCTTGTTGGAGCCTGTTAGCAAATGTTTATCCCACAGTGAACACCTGGTTGTTTGGAGAGTACGCCCACAGTGCACTGCCATCCCCCATCTGAGCAACAACATGCTTAAGATTGAGCCGGCACATCGTATTGCTACCACAGTGTGCAGTTCGTCGCATTCAACATGGTGATTAGCATAAGCCTCATTTAGTCATCCTTTAATGAGTAATTTTCCTGGGCTTATTCCAGCTGTGAAAAAGCATTAAATGGTAAAGCTATGAATTGTAACCTTAAACTTGATATTACCCAAAGAGACCCATGAACAAAGCTCATCGCATATCATTAACCACGATTACTCATTTGTCTCGAGGGATTTACCACAGTTTGACAGAATAGCTCTTTAGTGGCATCATAGAAAATCTTTAAGGAAATGAACATAATTCAAAATATTTTATACCAGGCTATATTATATTCTCATTTCATTTTCACATTGTGTGCAGTGCAAGTTGGTCCATACTAACAGCCAGTCAAATCATGGTCCCTCAAGACATCCTTGTCACCACCCCACTTTGTTTTAAAGAGATAGGGAAAAATGCTGTCATAATGTACTTATCTCATGTCTTTCTAAACCTTTATGTGATTTGGTGGTCTTTGTAACAGAGTTTAGCAAAACACATTATTTGTTGCAAAGAAAGCCATAAAAAATGATCAAGTGATCTAGATAGCAGCATCAAAAAGGGAATAGGTCACTACTCTTATTCCTGGTCAAAATATGTTATTTATTATTAATATATTAGCTTTACTAACAAAACTTTTATTCAACAGATTAGACATTCTGAATTTTGATTTTTAAATACATTGTGGGATTTTTTTTCGATGACCACACAGATATCAAGAATCAGCATATGTATCTCAATAATGGTGACATGTTTCATGAATGTTTCAATGCATGCTGGGAGCCCTGATTTTAATACTATGGTGGCTCTCAGCATGCATTGCGGTATGCATCATGTCACCATTGTTGAGATTCATATATGAATCTTAACAATCAATTCTTGATGCCAGTGTGTCAAAAGACGTTTTCCCCTTAATGAATTTTAAAATTCTGAATTCAGAATGTCTGATCTGCTGTAAGAAAGATTTTTCTGGTAAAATATCAATAAAAAAATCACTTATGGTTAGAAATAAGATTAGGGATTTATTCTAATTTATGAGGCTTGGTTTCTTTCTTTCTTAATAACAAATTATGTGTTTTTCTAAACACTGTTACAAAGACCACAAACTCACACAAAAAGCCAAACTGACCAACCAAAGGAAACGCTCATCACCAAAATGGTGATGACAACACACAAAAAAAAAATAAAATAAAATAAATCCTATAGAAAAAATATTGTTGAACTGACTCAACTACAAATGATTTGTTACAGAATAGAAATAGTTGCACCTCTCCAGAAAACAAATAATGTCAAGTTGATTTGTTGTTGTACTACCTTACATATTTTTTAACAGTGCAGATTTGGCCAGATTGTACTTTATTTATAGCCCTGGGGTCTAGTGGTCAACATGCACTATTTTCACCCTGGTTCGGCTTCCTTTTCCAATCTCGGACAGCATGTCCTGAGGCATTGAAGGCCCCTGGCACTCTGAGACTCTGGGGTACTGGCCTCACCATTGGCCACCTGATCCATAATCCACTCCTCTCAGCTGCAAGCCTGCATGTTTTTCTATAAAGACATTAAAAAATTTAATCGAAAAAGGTATTTCATTTTTAAAGCCTGCACAGAAAAAAAAGCAGTGTAATTGAGTGTCATAAAAAAGGACATAGGAAGATAAGCCACCTGTGGAATCTGGGGATGTTGAGGTTGTTCGGCTTGTGGCTGAAGTGTCTCGATTTCAGTGACCTTTTAAAGCAGTAATTCTCAGTTGTAGTTAATTGATTTATTGAACATGCCTTGGCACGCCGGTCAATCAGATCATAGGAGCAGGGGTTCGTTGTAGGGCTTCATTATTTACTCCTTAATTACTCTGACTCTTTGCTTTTGCACTATACAATGGACTAACCTTTGCTTGACGAAGAGAGCACAAAGCCCCAGTGCCTGGTCTGTGGAGGCTTATGAAGTGGAGCGGCCTCTCTCTTTGCTCTTCCTAATCTTAATTAAGTCCTGAACAACTGGGCTTTGCTCTTATTATCAGTACAGAGACTGATGTTGTCAAAGCTGTGGGATGCCATAGTGCACTTTTAATTGCACAGTCTTATAAGAATGGAGTAGAGCTCAAGAGGCTTCATTTATCTTCAACTTTTGTACATCATCATGAAATCACCTAAGATATTGTGTTTGCTTTAAAACTATTTATTTACAGTATGTAACAGTAAGCTCATATTGTAATCAGTTGTATAGACATTTTCAAAGTATTTTGCTTGATTTTCAAACTTAGTTTGAATGAATCGTGTCTCGCACTCTATATTTTCATCCATATTTTAATATCCAATTAAGATTTTAATATCCAATTTAGGATATATATATCGTTCGTTCCTGCTTCTTTTTTTACGTTCTAAGTTATATATATAAAAAATAATTTTATTTATAAATGAATTTCACTGGATATAGTCTAAATTGACTTCACTTTTCTCTGTTGAAGTCTATGGGTTCGCTGTGTCCATTTCTTTTATTTTCTATGGTTTTATCGTGAATAAAACACAGCTTTTATTTTTTCAGCAAGAATCAAGAATTGGAACTAACTGTTTTATAAAATATTTGAATGCTACGAATAAATACAGTTCTATTCATCATCTATTCCACAAAAAAAAAAAAAAAAAAAAAAAATGTTAAGCAGCAATATCGTTTCTTGGGCACCCAATCAACATATTATAATGGATTCTAAATGATCATATGACACTGGAATAATGGCTGGTAAAAATGATGCAGCCATTGTGAGACTTTTTCCAAAAACATAAAAAAATCTTAGAGACCCAGAACTTTTGAATTGTTGTGTATGTGGGATGGTTGGCAACCCTGACTTTTTGTTTAACAGTGGACATCCAGGATAAGTTAAAGGGTGGTAAGAATGTTTGAAAAAAAACTCTGTGGAAACAATCATTAGTGGTTCGTACTAATGTATTACTTAATCTCAGGGGGTACTTCAAGTAAATAAAGCAGGGCATAGGGGTGTAGCATACAAAACCCAATGTAATAGCTGTGCTCTGATCTCCCTATTAACAACATTCTCCAGGGCCTCGATTTCTATTCACTGAAAGAGTTAGTGGTCTCTTTAAGTGCACATAAAGTCTTCTTAAGAATAACTGTTCCAAAATGGGTTTTCACAGCAGTGCCATAGAACCATTTTTGGTTCCCCAAAGAACCTTCCACTAAACAGTTTCTAAAAGATTTTCTTTTTAGTGTGAAGAGCATTTGAATAATCTGAAGCACATTTATCCACTACAAAGATTCTTTAGTGTAATGGAAAGGTTCTATGGATGTTAAAAGGTTCTTAATAGAACCATCAATGTCAATGAAGAACATTTACTTTTAAAAGTGTATTGTGATGCATACCTTCTATCTCTATCTACACTTATGTGCTTTTTCTGATTCTCTCTTCAAAGGCTACAGAAGGATTGCTACCCCTTTCTGCAATAGCCCTACAGCTTCGAAGATGACATGCTCGTGATGCCTCTGTAAGTAGGTTTCTGCTTGTTTTATACACTTTGCCAGATGCCATTATCTAAATGAAACATGAGAAACTAGAGATGCACGATATATATCAGGAACCATATCGGCATTATATGTTCATTTTTAACGTATTTGCAAAATGTGTCCGTGGCCGATATATTAAAGGGTCATTCCACCACTGGAAAGATGAATGTGTATTTAAAATGGGTCATTTATGTAGAAGAAATGTGAAATTATTTTTGAATTTGGAGCTTTCTAGACTGAGAAAAGCCAGAAAATGTATTTTTGGTGTACGCGGATAAAAGACAACAACTCCCAGAATGCACTTGCTTTGCTGCCCTAGGAGGCCACGCCTACCGGTAACAGAGCGCAGTAGTTAAACAACAAGTCTAGGCTACAAGTAAGTCTCCGTGATGAGTCTGCCAGAAAATGTGTTTCGAGATCGCCCAAAATGTCTGGGATTCGGCTTTAGCGTTCTACAGTCGCCATTCATTATGTTTACTGTGGCGGCCATGTGGAGAACATTAGAATTGTGTGTTTTGGACATGCCTTTTAATGCTGAGACTTGTGTTTTTGTCATTTAGATTTAGATTTATCGGCCATTCATCAACATTCAGAAAGTTTAAATTTAGTATGCATTTGGTAGTTGTTCATTTTGAGGAAAGCTCTTTTCAAAGTTCCACTTTCAATCATCTGCTTCATACTTGAGTACAGCTTTCTTTAACAGGAACTAGTCATAATAGAGATCTCCAGTCTTCCTGGAGAATCTGCGTGAGGTTTTCCTCTCATTCTCCTCATTCTTTTTGTCTTTTGTTTGTCTCCCCGACGCTCCTCGCTCTCTGCTTCTCTGTGACCGTGGACAAAGTCAGGGATCCTTTCAAGTCAAATCCCTTTATTCTATGTCAGAAATTGAGTGTTTTGAAAAGGAGTGTTCTGGCAAAGAGAAAGGGCTGAAACTTTCATTGCAGCCATTTATGGAACAGCACAGCCTGAGGCTCTTTTTCTTTTCCTCAAAAGAAACTGTAAGAGAGGCTGACATATTTAATTGGCTGTTTGTGAGCTAATTAAAGCTTGTATGTTGATGTGTTTAACAAATCACCAGGGTCTTTTTCATGTTTCAGACTTCTTTTGAAAATAAATGGTGTACGTATGTCTGTCTAAAAGTACCAAATTTTATGAAGAAGCCTCACTGAAATTGATTTTTGTCAAAAGCATGGGTAGATTGTAGTCTCTTGACTACTTGACTTTCCCAAATAATTGTATAGCTGGATGAAGCTCACAACAAAAAGTCCAAGTAACATTTCACCCATAACAATAAGAATACACCGACATTCAAAAGTTTGTTGTCAAGATATAAATAATAGTTTCTGTATGGCCTCCAAATGATTGCTTTTGGTGGCTGATTGCTGTCTGAATTGACCATCAATATAGTGATTGTTTGCGTAGCCTAACGATGTAGCATCCGTTTATGGATACGACTGATTGTTCTGTGAAGAACTGGCAATCAACGTACTTTCCATTTAAGGAGACAAAAACGTATTAAAGGTGGGGTATGTGATTGTCTTTTTTGACCTTTTTTTTTTAAAAAATCACTTGAAATCTAATTCCTAACCCACATACAGCCACTGTGTTAGAAGCACTGAAATGAAAATTAAGCAATTTAATCATCTGTGGAATGGGCAGGACTTGAAAAACTCCAGCCAATCATTTCCAAGACCACCTAGAATCATTGGACTGTCAGTGCGTCAATTAAAAGGTTGTACCATACCACCCCACCAATCCCCCTTCGTGCGCATACTCAAAGCTCGTGACCCAGTCTTTCTGACGATTGAAAGAGTTTTTCAACCGTTATAACAAAAAGTGTTCATAAAAAATTGCCCATACCCTACCTTTAAATCTATATAAGTTATTGGTATTATAATAAATACTAAAATGTTGCATATATATTTTAAAATGTAATTATGAGATTTTCATTTAAAGATTTTTCTAAGAACTAAGCAGATCCTCCAAGTTTCTCAAAACCATTATTTATTTCTATTTAAATCTACATAAAGGTATTATAATATACCATGATGTATACATAGTTTAAATTTTAAATTAAAAAAAAATTGCACTACAGTAATAAGAATAAGATTTCATTATGGCAATGAGAGTCTCAATGGTCCTTTTCTTTAAGCAAAATTTCTTTGCAAAAGTTTTATTTTTTTTTTTTTAACTTTGGGTGAAATGTGGTTTGTGTGAGTGTTTAAAGATTCATCCAGCACTTTTTGGAGTTGACTTTAGGGTTGTCTGGGGAATGAAGATAACGAATTGCCAGACACCTGGATGTTGAGCACTAAGGCAACTTTCCCACTCACCAGGTTCTCTGATGGGTCAGCCAGGGCTCCAACCCTCCGTGTCCCCAAGCACTTACTGCGTTTCCCCCCTTCTGTGTTAGGTATATTTTTACTCTACAGTTTATTCCTTTCAGTGACTTAATCGCGCTAAATGACATCATTTTAGCAGCTGATCTCAATCATTGTGCCTTTCTGAGAAGACTCACTTTTTTTGTTTATGTTTATGGTCCTCTAGGCTCGTTTAGTGAGTCCTGGAGCTGCCACGTTGTTTTAATTTCGACCCACCGTTGTTTGCCGACATTTGATTCAGGATGACAATGAGCCGGAAGAAAACAAGCCCTTTTACAATATGAAAAGAGTAGGATCTAGAATGGGACTCCTCATCTGTAAGCTCGCTTTTAAGGGTCTGTTTCCCTCTCGGCCGAATTAAAGACGTGCCATTATGCTTGGCAAATTACTACGCACTCTTTGTGGTCCAGCCATGGTACATTAGTGTGCCTTAAGATGGTCTAGCTGTGCCCATTCACCTAACAAAGAGAGGGTCCCCCTGGCAGATCCTTGGCTGGTCACACAGAGGAGCCATTCACACCAGGCAGAAGGGGCCGTACGGTAGAGAGCTCGGCCACAAGGCAGTCATGACAAAATTCCCTAAAGTACTGCTTGAAGAACAACCATTTCCTCAAATGCAAACCAATTAAGTTCGATTTGACAACTGTCCAGGCAGAGAAGCGGAACATCTGTGTAGAGCTGGGGTATATCTTAACAGAACTAGTCATGCTTGTGATGTTTTTGGTCTCTGCGGAAGGGAAGAGGTGGAGTTGCTTGTTTTGGGTTCGGACTTTGGAATTGGACTGTGGGTTTTGGAATTTAGAGGCGGTAATATTGCAGCTGGACCCAATTACAATGGGAAGAATTAGGTGCCTCTCGGTGGATTCTCACCCATGGTTTTACTGAAGATTTTAGGACCATAGCAATTAATTAACCCATTATTTTGAATTGTTAACTCATTATTTTAATGGCTCTCATTCATAATGACATGCATCCTTATTCAGTGCTCAACTTTCTTTCTTTGTAAGACATGATGCAACTGTTCACAGCTCAGTGCAGCTCTCATAAATCAAGCACAATTAACAACGAAGACAAGCACGTTATCATATATTACTTACAAGATGGAAAACTTGAGAAAGAGAGACAGAACTTGTGTTATGAAAGCAGTTTTTAGTCGTTCTGTGAAATAGTTTTCTCTTATATTGAGTCCAGTTCCCTCTCTCGTCATAAATTAGTAGCGGGGAGTGATGATGATGGGGACCAAGAGCCAATAAATTGTGTGTTGCTCTCAGGGTCATTAAGCCTCGTAGTCTGGGCCCACTGGATCTTTTATCATCCGCCTTGGATCAGCGGCTGTAAAACGGTGGCTAACATTGTGTGTTTATTTCCCCATAACAAAAGATTAGCTGTCTACAGCTCATGAGCTCAGCTAATGCTCCTTGGGACCCGAACAGCTGTGGAAACATAAATCTACTCCCCAATTTTTGTTCTTTTCTTATTGTGCTCACCTTTCTTTGCCCTTTCCCCACTTTCTCTCTCCCTTATGACTTTTAACTGATTTACTCTGTCTCCAGTCTTGACCACGGCCTGCCCACAGACTGCCTAAAGTCCATTTGCTGACTGTCAGATGCATATTGCGGGTAGAAATCTGACACCAGGTACTAGGTTGATGCATTACTGAGGACTAATCACAGGTGTTGACTGTATTTTTCTTCCATGTTAGTGGCATCAGATTGTTTTTAGGGTTTAGTGTGAGGCACTTAGTGTAAAAGCAGTAAAAAGAAGGGCTGTCTCGATTAATCGCATCCAAAATAAAATTTTGTGTTTACATCATATATGTGGGTGCACTGTGTATAATTATTTTATATATAAATACACACATTTAAGAAATATTTGCATGTACATTGATTTATATATAATTTATTTTATATATAAATTATAATTATAAAATTATATAAATTTATTTTTTTCTTAAATTTACATGCATGTGTGTGTATTTATATATATATATATATATATATATACAAAATAATTATACATAGTGCACCCACATATATTATGTTAACACAAACTTTTATTTTGGATGCGATTAATCGCGATTAGTCTTTTGACAGCCCTAAAAAGTAGTACTTAGTAAAACTGCAATTATGGGAAATATTATTACAATTTCAAATAAATATTTTCTATTTGAATATTTATTAAAATGTAATTTATTCCTTAGATCAGAGCTTAATTTTCAGTATCATTACTGAATGGAAATTCAGCTTTTCCCGTCACATAAAGAAATAAAATTTAATTACACGATATTACTGTTTTTTTTTATCAAGAAAATGCAATTTTTTTTTTTTTTTTTACCAACCCAAATTACAAATGGGACAAGCCCTGCTGTACAGTTGTTTACGTTAGTTTTAATTAATTTCCGCACAACCTTTGAGATCCTAAACGGCATGTTAAAAAAACTTTTTTCACTTTCGTGTCTCTTGTCTAGAATTAGCTGGAAACAGGGCTGAATTTAATTCAGATACTCAAAAGTCTGGCTCTGCGAGACTATGCATTTGTCTTAATTAAGTTGACTTTCATTGTTTGAGGTTGGCCATTATAAGAGATACAATTATTCTGCT